TTGTATTTCAATTTGGAAAAGTAATGGATTTAGACCTTGGGTCATTTTAAAATGTAAGGGTGTAAACCCAATTAATATGTAGCATATCTTTTATGTAAAGAGTATTATATGTGTATATTGGGACAATTAGATGTGTATGTTGAGAACAAGGGATGTATGTTTAATTTACATGGATTGTGGCCACTGAGTGAGGGTGGGTTGTGATATAATAATGCATATAAATTTTTGTGAATATTAGGTGGGAAAAAGGCTTGGGAACAAAGGAGGTTATGTCAAAATTTTATGAAAAATTAAAAGACTTGTTAAGTGTGTAAAACACCTTTATAACAGGTGGGAAGGATTTCAAAAGGGGGGGAGGTTTAGAAACCTTGAAGAAATAGGCTAAAAATGGAAGAAAGTGACTTGAAAAACTTTGGAAAAACATGAGAAATGAATGAGAAGCCAATTTATCCAACCTAATGACCTTTCTTTTACTTTTTTTCTCCCTTTTCACTCACTCCCCGGGTTTGTGGAAATTCGGGGCGTGACATTTTACACTTTTCTATTTTCACAAAATCTGCTTCACCAAAATTCAACCTTCCTTAAGTCAAGTTTTAATCTTACCCATTTCACTTGTAGTAAGCTGAGTTTAAACACAAAGATAAGTGCATCTACAAGTGAAATGGGTAAGAAAATGCAAAAATCTAAATTTTCTCTCTCTATGTATCTTTGAATCTACCACTGTTACATTTAAGTTTTCTTCTGAAGAATGGGTATTAAATGCACTTATGTTTGTAGTTAACTTTTCTTTACATTAAGACAAGTTTTAATCTCCATTTCATTACCATGTCTCTTTATACATTTTTTGTCTTTGCATTTAATATGGGTAGCTAAATTTTAATATGGCTAATCCATCTTGGGTATGCTAAATCAACTATCCTCCATTCTTCCTTGTAGTGTAAATTGTTTGGTATGAATAGGTTGAGTGCGGATGTGGTTGTGAGCTCTTGATACACCGTAGACTTGTCATGGGATATGCTTAACCCTACACCTCACTTCAGACCCTCACTTCCTACGAATCAATCGAACACCTAGGCACCACTGGAAGAATGTTTTGAGTAGATTTGACATTCTCATTGGAANCGTCACGGAACCAAACGTTTTTAGCGGAGGCGGTGTTTGGATTCATGGGGCCGTTAATCACATGCGTTATTTGAGTTTGACTCTGGTTTAATTTATTTTTTTGCTTGAATTTGACCAATATTTTTTAAATGAGTTTGAAAAATTTGGCCGAACTTGATAGACTCAATTCGTTTATGTTCAATTACTCGAGCTCGGCTTATTTTAACCTTATTCAAGCTTGACTCGTTTAGAAAATAAGTTAAATTTAAATAATTTTTTAGACTCGATTAAGAAAACAAGTTATTTAGACACTACTTGACTATCAACCTTATATATATAGTCTCGTGTAAAATTAACAGTCGAATTTGTGATAAGTTGTAATTAATAGAACAATCAATAACAATAATGTAAAATATCGGGTCAACACGCAGATATATAGTGGTTCGGTTTGAATGACTTACTCCACTTTTAAAAACGACAACGGTGGCGGGTGGATTTTTTATTGATTAAGTAAGATAAACGAAAGAGAACAATAGTTAGTCCTGAGAAAGATACAATAGCTAGGAGAGAGAAAAGCGATGTGTGGGGTGTGTAGAGAAGTGTTATCATGTAGAGAGAACTTACAATTTATAGGCACAGAGTTTTAGTTGAGTCGGTGACGTGAGAGTAAAGGTACTAGNGAGAAAAGCGATGTGTGGGGTGTGTAGAGAAGTGTTATCATGTAGAGAGAACTTACAATTTATAGGCACAGAGTTTTAGTTGAGTCGGTGACGTGAGAGTAAAGGTACTAGATCATCGAGAAGTTATAAAAGGTAAGTACAATTAAAGGTTGTCTTAATTTTCGAGAATGAGTATCCCGATAATTACTTCTCACTTGTTCTAATTCTTCTAAACTCATTGAACTCTGGACCGGGCCGAATCCCTGAGTTGGACTTGACCCGCATTGTAACTGTTTTGGGCTTAGCTCATTAATTAGGTTTGACCTTGTTAAATTTAAGTTTGTCAATATATATATATATATATATAACAATTTATTTATTATTAATAAGTGAATGATGCGCTTATACGTAATCAATCCCGATTAAAATTCATGATAAATATCTATCTCTAATAATTTAAATTTTTAGAGTAAATAATCATTTAACATGATATCAAAATAAGAACTCTAATTATTAAAAAAAATTTCACGAACTATTGTCGTACANGATTATACGTAATCAATCCCGATTAAAATTCATGGTAAATATCTATCTCTAATAATTTAAATTTTTAGAGTAAATAATCATTTAACATAATATCAAAATAAGAACTCTAATTATTAAAAAAAATTTCACGAACTATTGTCGTACAACAGACAATAATTTAATTAGATCTAATTACTTTATATTAGAACGGCCAGAGGCAAGCAAATACTTTTGGAAAAAATTGGAATGATGTAGTAGTTGTTTTTTAGTTATTCTTTATCACTTTGTTTATAGTTATGACTTTTTCTTCCATTTTTTGGGTTGTGTGTTATTCTTAATCACTTTGCTTTTTTAAATTTCAGTTTTTTTCTTTATTTTTTGTGACGAGGGATATACATGTCAGCTTATACGCATATTCATTAATCTATTCTTCTTTTTGATTTGANCTTTTTTTTGGGTTGTGTGTTATTCTTAATCACTTTGCTTTTTGAACTTCAGTTTTTTTCTTTATTTTTTGTGGCGAGGGATATACATGTCAGCTTATACGCATATTCATTAATCTATTCTTCTTTTTGATTTGATCAAATACATGTTATTCATACCGAAATCTTCTTTCATTACTCAACTCTAAGGGAGTTGTAAAGTTTTAAATTCAACATATCTGAATTTAAAATTCGTCTCTACCTCTATTAAACTATCTTTNGATTTGATCAAATACATGTTATTCATACCGAAATCTTCTTTCATTACTCAACTCTAAGGGAGTTGTAAAGTTTTAAATTCAACATATCTGAATTTAAAATTCGTCTCTACCTCTATTAAACTATCTTTTAAGATTAACCTAAATTAGAGGAAAGAGCCTCAAATTTAAAGAAAGAAACAAAAAAAGTTACAATTTGTAACTTATCAATCAATAGATTTTGATATCGAGACATTAAAAGTATTGTGTTAGGAAAATATGAATATTTTCTAAATTATGTTAAAATCTGAGTAAGGCCGCGAAAAAAAAAAAGAAAAAAAGAAAGGGGTTAAAACGCAGGACTTTAAAAAGTATGTTTCGAGTTTTTTTTCTATTTTAAAAAAAATAAATCTAGGGCCTAGACAGCTACCTCAGTGGCTTATTTCTCGGGTCGGTCATGTGCTCTATTAACTTATTATTAAAATGAAAATCGAATCTAACAAGCAAACCTCATTTTATTCGTAAAGCCGCCTTCCTTTTTTTTTTTTAGGGCTCATTTGTCTCGACAATTTTACTATTGAAAAGGTAAGGTATGACCTTTATCAACTTGCATTAATTTTGCAAGGAAAGTATGTTGGATCTTATAAGTAGAAATATTTAGACGAGTGGGTCTCATTAAAAAAAAAAAAAAAGAGTTAATAATATTTTTAATCTATAAAGTATATTTGTTGGTTCTTAATATATTAATTTTGTCAATTTAGTTTTTAAAATTTTAATTCGTGTAATTATAGTATTTAATTAGACAANTTAATCTATAAAGTATATTTGTTGGTTCTTAATATATTAATTTTGTCAATTTAGTTTTTAAAATTTTAATTCGTGTAATTATAGTATTTAATTAGACAAATTCGTTAAGTTTTTTTAGAGAAGTGACCACATATCATTCTTTTAAACGGTATTACGTGCTCAACAAGTGATTATTCTATAAAAAACTTAACGGTCCGTCTATGTAGGGATTATTTAAACAAGAATTGAATACTTTAGAGACCAAATTGATAAAATTGATACTTAAAATGACTAAACTTGCAAAATGTNTATGTAGGGATTATTTAAACAAGAATTGAATATTTTAGAGACCAAATTGATAAAATTGATACTTAAAATGACTAAACTTGCAAAATGTACATATTTTAGAAACCCAAAATATTATTAACTGTTACAAAAAATTAACGAGATTTACCAATCTGAAGATTCCTAATTGTTTGTTGTATGATCATGTAACATATACTTCCATGTGATTCCGATATAACCAAATAAAATTTTTATGAATCGTGTGAAATAATCATTATAAAGTGGTTTAGTAGTTGAATTTGACATTTGATAATTCAGGTTTAATTCATTCTCCCACTCCAAGGGTCATTCTAATTCAACTCAAGCCACGGTGGCAATTGTTGAATTTAAGAGAATATTCGACGTAAATTTAAATATCTTGTAACAAAAAACACAAAAAATAATAATAATAAATTGTGAAATAAAACGGAAGTGACTTTTTCTTCCCAAGATCCCGGTAGTTCATGAATGGACAGCATAACTCTTCTCAAAATCAGAGAATTTGCCACTCAAAGCTAAAGATCATAGAGTTTGGATCGTGTAGAAGTATAGTTCTATTTCAGTCTTAATTTAAAGTCTCTCCTTAATGTCATTCCCAAGGATTTCTATGGACAATTATCCGATGGGTGTATGCTTGGTAATTTTAGACACAATTTGCAAACTCGACACTAATTGACATAAAATTTGTGAATTTGAATTAAACCTTATTAGATTTTAGTAGTAACAGGGTTGACCTTTTAAAAACTGACTTATAAATGACACGAACCCGACACAACAAAAATCCAACTACACACATATATAAATAATTTGAATTTGGTTTGAACAAATTTTTGCATAATATAACTTACACACAACACAAACCGACCCATTGACAGTCCTAGGTGGGGTAGAAAACCAAAGAAAAATAGCATTATACAGTGAGAAGCCTGGAAACCCATATATAGAAGTTGAGATTTATTGACAATGTTTTACAAAATTACACACCGATTTGGTGTTCAAAATTGCTGTCAGGGAGAAAACCTCATGGAATACTCATGTACAAGCTCTTGGGTCGATGACTGACCAACCCAATCAGAAAACTGAGACCACAAAAAACAATGCACAAGACTTACGTCAACCCTATCCCTACTTGTTCGTGACTCGAATCTACGGTACTCAAGTCACAATGAAACAATCTTTCCGTCACACTAAATCCTTCTCTCAATCAAAACCATGTCAAAGAACCCCCATTCAATCTCACACAAAAAACCTCTGTAATATTAACAACAAAACCTCAAAACATAGATCTGATTACACGTCTCACCAAAAGTTAACTGATGCTGTATGGTTCCCTTCTCAGTGCCATTGATGAACACTAAGATCAGTTGGCGAGGCAGGAACATATGGTACAAAACCCCGGCCACCAAAAACCGGACGCATAAATGCATTGTCGAATTTTCTCCAATAATGGTGAACGGTGTGAGTTGGTTTTGACAGAAGCATCCGCAAGCTGGTTGGACGGGGCACGCTGTGACTGCTGAGGTCGGCTTCTGAATCCTGCCCATGGGTAAGAAGTGGCACGGTGAAGGATTTAGGAGTAACTGGTTCGGAGGAAACCATGATGCTCAAGTGTTTTGGCGTGGGCAGCAAGAGCCTCACCAGAGGTTTAGTCATCAATCCAAACACCTACATGTATCACAGGAGAAAGAAACTGTGATCAATGAAAGAAACAAACCTAGAAGGGAATGTGCGACAATATTGTGCTACAAATCAACTGCAGCCACATTGTTGAAGTAGCTATTAAAAACAGGTCATTTAATTTCCAGACTTAATAATCTCAGTAGGCTCAAAACTGTCAAAAATTACAGCAATATACTGGTGCTGAGCTAACCACGAGCAACCAGGTTCGGGGTTGTCAGCACGAATAGGTAGGAAAATTCAGNAGGCTCAAAACTGTCAAAAATTACAGCAATATACTGGTGCTGAGCTAACCACGAGCAACCAGGTTCGGGGTTGTCAGCACGAATAGGTAGGAAAATTCAGTGTGAATTTTCACACTACCTTCATGTTTAAAGCTCAACGCTAAGTTACCATGGAAGCTTATGTGCAGATGGGTATATGTAATTTTCTATGAAAACCCATTCTTAGGATAAAATCACGTTCCAACGAGTTCAGAGAAAAAAATCAGGAAATTCTACTGAATCATAAAGGCTAGAAGTTGAGAAGATTCAGAAAACATTTTCAATGGTTCTATTGTCTTTTTGACTTGGCCTATTTTTAAGGTCTGGAACTTAAAACCAGGTAGACGGGCCCACTTATAGATTGCAACCCCATCTGTCAGCAGATGCCTAAGAATTAACATGTCTCACCACTGTGCTGAAGAGAACAACTGTGATGGTACTGGTGACCATCATCGAATTCCCACGTAGTTTGGTATGGCCATACTTTGTAAACTGCATAAATGAAAATTATGAATTCAGTACACAAAAAACACCCAACATCAAATGCTTCTTCAAACCCCCCACCCCTCATCCTCCTCGTTCCCTGCCCTGTGGTGAACAAGTCATAGAAAAGCACAGCCTATAATAAGCACAAGAATAAGGTGGTTCCTATGTTTGTCTTGTGCATAATATAACAAGATCATATCTGTTAACCAAGTTATAAGACTGTATAAACATGTTATTTACCTGATTATAAGCAAGAGCCATAGAAACAGAACCTCGCATTAGACCAGCCCACCATATTGTAACCTGGACAATTAAAATTAATGAAGTGTGCCAAATAATCATAGTACTGGAAACACGAATCCAGAACAGTCAACTCATACTTGCTGCTTCAGATAAATTTTCTCGTGAGGAGACTTCTTCGTCAAGTTGGACAAAAATGACAATGGGAAAACAAAGGCTCCTCTTCCAACCAAAACCAGTCCCAACAGAATTGAGCTCACCCAAACTGATGTTCCAGGGCTGACAAAAGAAAAAAACAACAGAAATTAAGACTGATGTCCCAAAAAAGATAAAAAAAATTGCAATTTGCCACAGTTCACATAAATGGCACATCTCATCAAAACATGAAACGATGACTTATTTTTTCCAGAACATGACTCATTCTCTTTATGCATGTAAACCATACCTGTCACTAACAACACTCCACTTTTCAATGTCCAAAGCATCCATGCCAACGTAGAGAAAAATAAATATCTCAGCAACAAATGACAATGTCGCAAAAGCATGCCTACAAGAGCATACAAAAGAAACAAAATTTACATGTCAATTTAGCATTCTGGCTAAAGAGAAACAGCATGAACATGGAGTCGTTCCAACTGTTACTGGATGCCACACATACTTAGCAGTGATTCTCGAACTTTCAGTGACATTGTGCCAGGTGTAGTGGGACATCACAATCCCGCAAAAAAACACAGTGAGGATGGCACTTAAATAGAATAGCTGCGAGACAAGTTTAGCATCAACATAAGCATCAAAATGCTGAAATTCAATGGTCCAAAGGTTCCTATCCTATGTAACGTAGAAACAGAGAGCTAAAATATTCCAGGTCTTAGAAACCACAACAATAACATACTTACATCTGCCAGCAAATACGAAAAGTAAGCCATGAGTATCATAATAGCAACCTCACGATCAGTGGAATGCCTGGAGTTCATTAGAAAATCAGGTATAAATAGTAATCCCAGTAAAAGAAGGCAAATTCCTTGTGCTTCTTTCCATCGCATAATCTATCTTCAATGTCAACTTATACTATAGAATTTAAGGCACATCCAGCCAGAAACCAATTATGTTGTACCAATGTCATACCAACATATCTGGTGCAGAAGCAGATGTAAAAAAGCAAATATTAATCACCTACAACTGCACCATCTTCTTGACTCTGACAAATTATACCTGTTCTGAACTTTGATTCACATGGTTTATATGATCAGGGATTTCATTCAATCTTCAAGTATGCAGTGTCAATTCGAGTGAAACATTTACATACCTTCCAAAATATAGCTTTTTTATAATGTACGCGCTAAGCAGTCCGACCTGTAGTTGTAGGAATATGGTGTCACATAACCATATCTATTCAAAATCATGCAGAAACTTATGAGAGAGAGAGAGAGAGAGAGAGAGAGAGAGAGAGAGAGAGACTCACAGCAACTCCCAGCACAGTGCTTGTGATAAACAAATATAAAAAATTGCCAACTAACTGCAAAGCAATGCTTGAGCTCATATGAGATAGGTCAAAATTTTGAACGGCATTAAAAAGCACCACTGATGTGGCATCATTTACAACGCCTTCACCAAATACTAGACTGTATAGTAAAGGTGTCTCATCCTGATTAAGCACCTGCATCATCAGATCACTCGTCATGAATGTTTCAATTCTACAAGACTACAGCCGAAAATGCTATCTATACCTGCAAGGTGCAAACAGAATCTGTAGCAGAAAAAATTGCTCCAATCGCTGAAAATAATTAAGTTAAGAGAGCAAAAAGATGTGTTATGGTAGTGGAAAATAAAGAGGAAAATAACAGGGAAACAGACAGTTGAGTAGTACCAAGATAATCTCCAATCTCGAGAGAACCGATATTCATTTTCTTTATAAACTTAATAGCCCCTGGCCAAAAATTGAAAGGTATCATTAACAATAGCACAATAATGAAATGCATTCCACACGGACAATCCTAAGAACATCATACAAATAGAAATTAGCATTTGAAATCTTGGTAATTCTGAACAGAGCAGATTTCTTCTTCTCTTCTTCTTGTCTCTATTCTTGAATATGATAGAAGCGGTAAGGAGTTAAACTATTGTAGACATAAGAGCATACCTAATGATATGATGATAAAGGATATCAGGGTACCAACTGCACCAAACAGTGTGATAGTCATGAAGTTGCGAAAGAATTGTTTCTTCTTTACCTGGAACCTGAACATATTTGAGGAAAAAAAAGAAGGAAACTCATAATCATCACTTTGTAATTTGATATACTAGGAACTAAAAGAAAGAGAAAGGCTAATTCTTGTAAAAAATAAGGAGCCATTTTTGAAAAACCAAAAAGGGGCAAAAAATATATACGAATTTCCTTGTTCAGAAGCCCAAGCTCATCCAAGGATTGAGTTTGGAACTTTGGAGCCCAACCAACACATGGGCCACCTGAACACCTAAACAGGGCCTTATAGCCCCCCAATTTTTTTCACTGTTCCTAAATTTCAAACTAACGAATCAGAAGAACCAAATTTACAGACATTAGTTCATATACAATCACCTAATGAATTTGAGCTTCGATTAAGTTTTATTCCCAGATAGCTAATAATCCTCCATTTGGCAGAGCAACGGTAGGGCCTGGTAACCAGCATTCTAGCACCCAAAGTGAAAATGGTAGTTACTGATAAATTATCTCAATGGTGTCAAGGATGGAAAAAAAGAAGGTGATTTAGAAGATTTGACTATCGAACTAATCAGAATTTCCAGTGCCAACGAAGACTCAACTCTAAAGACCAATTTCAGTTTATGAGTTCTTCACTCCTTTTTTAAATTATAGCTAAAAACACTACCTATTTTGGCAATCATAAACCACTGCGTAACCACACAGAATTCGGTGCAGCAATGTATCCAAACCAAAACACTTTGGGAAATACAGAAACCTTTCAGTACTCACACCATCAAATTTAGGATGCGTGTGTGTGTTTGTGTATGGCAGCCCAAAGAATTGAGAAACAAGCTTGTAAATAAGTAGATAAATTATAACATAAAATCCGATTTTATTGAACTCACAATAAGAAGATGATGATGTAAATGCGCAACAACCTTCCAGGGAAAAAACATGAAATGCGCAACATACCCAGCATTGAATATGATTGGCGGAAGGAGATAAATGAAGAAAAGATCTTCACTGAAAAGCAACAGATGTGAGCTCTTCCATCCACTAGTTAATAGAATCGCAATACCAGTGCACAAACCCTGTCATAAACCAATGGAATTCAAATTCCGTCCCCATTGCTTCCCATAATAGTATAATACATAAATAAATACACATTATAGAGAGAGAGAGAGAGAGAGAGAGAGAGAAGGGGACTACATAGAAGAACTCACAACAGCAAGGGCTGTGATGGACTCATTCATCCACCGATTCTCCTCCAAAAGATGACCGATCACAATACATGCGCAAAGTAGCGCCACAAATAAGTTAATTGACACCACAGAAGTGTTATAGGAAGCTGATAATGTACTCATCTTTGTCAGTACAACCCCTAAGTCAAACGCCATATTTACCAGCTCAATTGACCTCCCAGAAACACCAAACAATTCACTGTTCACAGCACCACAAAACACTAGATTACCCCCCTAAATCTCAGCTTTCAATCTCTCAACTTCAAATCAGCGAATTCCCAAGCTCAAACTCTGCAAAACAAAGTTAAAAAATGTGATACTTCTCGGATCAATCAACCAAATAACCCTCAAACTTTCTCCCAAATTCACGCATGAAGACACACACACATACACATACATTCCTTTTGTGTGTGTGTGTGTGTGTGGAGAAGGAAAGAAGATGATTGACTTACCACAGGACTTGGAGCATGAATAAAATGAAGATTGTAACTATGACCAGGCCTGTGATCCACTGAGATCTCAAAAATAGAAGAGTAAAATCGAAGTAAAACACTGATTATGAAGTGTTTTTGCTTTCAAAAAACACTTCGAAACCTACTGAATTTGCGTAATCGAAACACTGTCGAGCAATGCTTCGAAAACAAACTATATCGCAGGTTCTACAGTATTTCAGCTTTGAAAAAGCACTTTTTTTGCTCTTAATGTGCAGAAAATAGAATTTGTGTTGAAATTTGCAATCGAAAGAGAGAATGTACTGGTAGAAATTCGACAGAGAGAGAGAGAGAGAGAGAGAGAGAGAGAGAGAGAGAGAGAGAGAGGAATGGACGATAGAGGTGGAGGGAATCTGAGGAATTTATACAGTTTGGAACTTTCGTGGGGCTTTGGACAGGTAGTTTGAACTTTGAAGGATGAAGACAGTTGGAGAGATCGTGACCGTTGATTGGAATTGTGATTTGTCATGGTTGATTTCGCTGTGGGGAGCATAGGTGGACCCAACGCCATTTTGGTAGAGATTTAGATGGAAACGGAGGGAGAGCGAAATAAAGGAAACGAGGTCCCACCACAACTATTATGGTGTCTCCCATGGAAATATTTGTGTGTGTGTGTGTTTGGGGGGAGAGTGGGTGTGAGGTGGGTTTGTGGTATGTGGGGAAAGGGGAGGAGGAAGAATGGTGGGGGTGGAGGTGGGGGTCCGGCTCCTCTGTCGTTTGTTAATTTTTAAAAGTGGAGGTGTTATTAATGAAAACAGAACGGTACCATTTTGATAAACAACATTTTTGTTGCTAATTTTTTAACACAAGATGATCCTCACCTGGATAAGGGTGGAGGTGAAAATGTGAAAGAAAGAGAAAAAGAGTTTTGTTATCGAGAAATTCAAAATTTTATAATACTTTATTTTTTTAAAAAAAAATTGAATGATAGAGCATCAATGGAACATTAGTAAGAAAAATCATTTGTATACAATATATCTCACTTGAAATCATTTTTAGTTATTTGTCAATGAGAAAAATCGAGAACAATTGTATTACTGGTGAACCAAACCCTTCGAGAACAATTGTATTACTGGTGAACCAAACCCTTGATCGGTTATTTGTTTAAACTAGTGAATTTCATTCAAATTGATGTCTGTGTGATTTAGGAATNTGATCGATTATTTGTTTAAACTAGTGAATTTCATTCAAATTGATGTCTGTGTGATTTAGGAATGAGAAAATTAAACAAAGCTAGAAATGAAGAGGGTCTAAATCCTAATGGTGGAGTATTTAACCTTTTGTTAATGCACTTTTATAGCTAAATAGCTCATGAAATAAATACTTATTGTGATGATGATGAAACTCAAAAAATATTGACCCTTTTTTTTTTACTTTCTTTATTTGGGTACACTTTAGAGTTGAAATGAGCTTACATAGAGAAACTTANAGCCTTTTGTTAATGCACTTTTATAGCTAAATAGCTCATGAAATAAATACTTATTGTGATGATGATGAAACTCAATAAATATTGACCCTTTTTTTTTAACTTTCTTTATTTGGGTACACTTTAGAGTTGAAATGAGCTTACATAGAGAAACTTAGAATCTTTGTTATTAGTAAATTGACAAGGATGGATTTATGTTGGTATAGAGGTTGGAATCAACTCTATAAACTTTAGTATTTTTGTTACTCTAACTCAAGTTTATGTCAATGCTTGATCAAGCACCTTTAGGTAGAGCCAAACTTAGCTTTAGGTAGAGCCAAACTTAGATTGGATAAGTAGATGCTCACTTTTGAGTGCAAAAATTCATTAAATTATGAGTAATATTGTTAAGACAGAATTTATTGATCTAATGTGTTGACCTTGACCTTAATTGTGGATCCTATCAAATATTNGGTAGAGCCAAACTTAGATTGGATAAGTAGATGCTCACTTTTGAGTGCAAAAATTCATTAAATTATGAGTAATATTGTTAAGACATAATTTATTGATCTAATGTGTTGACCTTGACCTTAATTGTGGATCCTATCAAATATTAGAACTAGATGTTGATTAAATGAATTTAATGAAAATATATTACTAGGTCAGCAAATTATATCGAAATTTTAAGTCTAAATAACATTATTTTTAAAATGTATTGTATTTGTTCGTGGAAAGATNTGATTAAATGAATTTAATGAAAATATATTACTAGGTCAGCAAATTATATCAAATTTTTAAGTCTAAATAACATTATTTTTAAAATGTATTGTATTTGTTCGTGGAAAGATTAGATAATTTTTACCAAAAATAAAGATAATTTAAGTATAATTGGCAAAATCAATTCGCCAACAACTAATAAAAAGGGGGGAAGTTAGCGGTTATCCCAATAACCCCTGCTCTCGTTGTTGAATCTTAAGGTCACATGCTCGAATTTTTTCGTTTCCCTCCTCTAAAATAGTGTCTATAAAAAATAGAAAATAAGGAAATAACATTATCATCCAATAGTATCAATAAAAGTTTGCCAAAAAAANCAGTTATCCCAATAACCCCTGCTCTCGTTGTTGAATCTTAAGATCACATGCTCGAATTTTTTCGTTTTCCTCCTCTAAAATAGTGTCTATAAAAAATAGAAAATAAGGAAATAACATTATCATCCAATAGTATCAATAAAAGTTTGCCAAAAAAAAGTAGTGTGGCAGTATGTTGGATCTCCGGGGGGTCATGCCACCTTATTTTAAAGTTTCTGGTTCCAACAGTAAAAAAGAGTAAACCGCACACACAAAAAAAAAAGGGGACTAATTTCACTTTGCATCCTGAAATATACTTTGATATTTAATTTGTACCCTCAAAAATTAAAAAATTTAATTTGCATCCGCAATATTATAAATTAATACTAACGGTCTTAAACCACACTGTCGTTCAGTTTTTATCATAAATTAAAACACATGAGATGCAAGTGATTCGTACATGAGGATGAGGTATGTTAATTGTTGTAGATCTTCNCATGAGATGCAAGTGATTCGTACATGAGGATGAGGTATGTTAATTGTTGTAGATCTTCGTTTCCTATCAATTTGGTACCGTTTTGTATATTAAAAATAAGATTTCATTAATCAGATAGAGGATAACCTTATCATATGCAACTCATACGAGCCACCAATAGTTTGTAAATTTACACATAAGTTCATATCCAAAATATTTATAATTCACGTGTTTCAATTTATAATAAGAAATCGAACAGCAATCTAGGCAAGATTCATATTACTATCAATTTATAAACTTGAGGGTATAAATTAAAATTTTTAATATTTAAAGATTTAAATTGAGAATCGAAATATTTTTCGGGACATAAAATGAAATTAGCCCCCCCAAAAAAAACAAAAATGTAACACTATCTTCTAAACACAATCTTAGTCCACTAATCTAATAAACAATAATAAATTGCCTAGCTCAAACTATTCATTGATGACCCTATTAAACGCTGCCCAAAATGGGGTTCTTCTTGAATTTTTTATAGTCGAAGGTTCTCCTTGTTTTATGGATTGAATNTAAATTGCCTAGCTCAAACTATTCATTGATGACCCTATTAAACGCTGCCCAAAATGGGGTTCTTCTTGAATTTTTTATAGTCGAAGGTTCTCCTTGTTTTATGGATTGAATCCCACCCTTTTCCTTTGATGCAATACTTTGGATCACACATGGTATACTAAACGAATAACAACCCTTAGATGAACTGTCCTATTACTTTTTTAAGACGGAATCCATTGATCCAATGATTTATATTGATTTAAAAATTTNTAATAAGAAATCGAACAGCAATCTAGGCAAGATTCATATTACTATCAATTTATAAACTTGAGGGTATAAATTAAAATTTTTAATATTTAAAGATTTAAATTGAGAATCGAAATATTTTTCGGGACATAAAATGAAATTAGCCCCCCCAAAAAAAACAAAAATGTAACACTATCTTCTAAACACAATCTTAGTCCACTAATCTAATAAACAATAATAAATTGCCTAGCTCAAACTATTCATTGATGACCCTATTAAACGCTGCCCAAAATGGGGTTCTTCTTGAATTTTTTATAGTCGAAGGTTCTCCTTGTTTTATGGATTGAATCCCACCCTTTTCCTTTGATGCAATACTTTGGATCACACATGGTATACTAAACGAATAACAACCCTTAGATGAACTGTCCTATTACTTTTTTAAGACGGAATCCATTGATCCAATGATTTATATTGATTTAAAAATTTTAATATGTCGATGATAGATTCGGACTGTTATATCAACGGGATCAAGACTAGTCCGAAGAATCGGCGAATGGTGTGGCAAATAAAATCTTATGTAGTATTGTGAATTGATCAATTTGGCGGGCCATAGTTCACTTGGGTCGGGTCAGGGCTGTCCGAACCCAAGCCTAGGCAGAAAGTGCCCTGCATACAAGCATAATGGCAAAACAACAAAGAGCATACACAACATGACAATGGGCAACATGAAATTCTTCCTCACTTTACACCTCATAACCAATTTTGTTTTAAGTGAATAACGTATAAGCTGAATTAGGATCCAATACTTGAATTGTATTGTAGGTGATTTGCTAACAATTTTTTTTTATTAAAAAAATGCATTATAGTAATTCTCACTCCAACAATTACTATCAAGCAATGGTTTGTCTAAAAAGGGCGATTCAATGTATAAGATTTTCGTTACTATATAGTTTAAAGAAAATTAAAATGTACATGATCTTATTTTAGCATGAAAAAAAGACTTGTTTCAGGAGTGTATATATATAGAGAAAACAACAGTCTTAAAAAAAAAAAAAATTGGTATCATATCTTTAAAATTTATAATTTTTGTAGGTGTTTTTAAAACTTTTAAAGATAATTTTTTAACAAAAAAATTCATAACTTTTGAGGTCGTATTACAATATAAAGTTATAATTTTTGTGGGTTGTTTAACAACGTTAGTGGGTTATTTGTAATCAATTCCAATTTTTTAGGATCAATTTCAAGTAGCCCACAAAAATTATAAATGATCCAAGAGAGTTGTAAATGATTTATAAAATTTATAAATGATCCTTACATTTTATAAAAAAACTATAAAACTTATAACGGTG